ATCCCTGTAAGCACAGAAGAAATCCTCTGTAACTGATTGTTTACACTTTTTGCAAAAGCCGTAATTTTTAAGTGTCATGCAAAAATGTCTGTTGTAGTGTTGGCAATTCCCATGAAAATGATGAGTGGCTAATCTAAGGTCACTTACTAAACAATTATGCAAACCTACTCTCTATAGCAGAAACTAGCGTGAAATCCTAAACAGGGGTGGATCTAACTTTGGCTGGGGGTGCGATGTCAAGTTGGGGGGGGGGGATCTGGAAAATGTTAAGATCATTTGCGCCGGGGGGGGGGGGGGGGGGGGGGGGACCGCCTTTGGATCCACCCCTGTTAAACCACATGCTCGCCATTTGAGAGCTGTGAAAATTACTTTTAATGTCTATAGAGATTGCACGATTTTAAGCCAAGTTGTTTTTTATGGGAAGGGGGGGGGGGGGGGGGTCATTTAGACATGAAAAGGGCACTCGCCAATTCGTGCTGAAGGAACATGTAGATAGTTTTTTTTTTCACTAGTCACCCGGCCTCCGTAAAATCCAAAAGCGGGGCGTAGGGGGACGGGGCTGGGTACCATCTTCCTATGGGGTGCTTTTCAAACCGGCGATAATGGCCACTATCGGACAATTAACCTATCACGGAGGAACTGCGTCAACGCAGCTTGTGAAATATTGTCTAAACATGATATACAAATACACGTGGAACGCCAAAGTCGGAGACAAACAAAAATTAACGTACAAAATTCCATGAGCCGTTTCGCGGATACCGCCATCTTTGAAATGGGGGGGGGGGGGGATTACAATGAAAAGACATCTCATCATTCTCAGCTACTGTTGCATGATGAGACATATTTTCATTGTAATGCCCCCCCCCCCCCCAGAAAACAATAATTCAAAGATGGCGGTATCAGCGAAAAGGCTTATAGAGTTGTCTAAGGGGCGTGGTTAACTCGCAAACGGCGGTAGGTCAATGGGTGGCGCTTTTCATGGCGGCACAATTGCTGACGTTTACACGAACTACCAAAAATTCTTTAAAAGCCGCTGGCGAAACAAGAAACTTTTTAAACAAAACTAAGGACACTTGTGTAAAAACTAAAAGTTACTTGTGTAAAAAGGGCACTCTTTACAGAATACTGGGGGGGGGTGTTAACTGCTGGTGCAAAAAATGGGGGCGGGGTGAGCAATAGATCTAACAGTGCTTGTGACCCAGTCTGACTGAGCTACTGTGGTCACCTGATCAAAAGTGGTGATCTGATTGGCCAATGTGCACTGTTGATTGACATGCAGGAAGGGTCCATTATAACCTTTTCTTTGATTTCTTGCAGGAGTCTACCTATTCCCAGGAAGCGTACTTGTTCAGCTTACATGTGCATGTGCTGGCTGGAGACATTATCCAAGGATATGCTGTCAGCAGGGATGCCAAATATGGCATCCAAATAAAAGTCAATACAAAGAAATTCACTTGAAATGATAAAGTGACAAAGGAAAATTCTTACCAGTTGAAAGACCCTCCTCACTTGAATGGAATTTGTACTTTGTTTTAATTGATTTCGTTAAGATTGTTTCTTTACCATCTAACGGGCTCACACTTTCACTGATGTTTTCAAAGTGAGTTTCTTGAATGCAATCAAGTAATACTGATTAAGAACAATGAAAGACTTCAAATAATTTGGAGTCTTTTAATCAAGAAACACTTGTCGCACTTTTACGGGCTTTAAAAACAACAGCCAACTCCACTTTTTTCATTACTGTGGGCACGTTTCTGTTTCAACTGAAAGTAATTAAAATCATGTTGTTTTTTTCATAACGAAGCCAATCGAAAAAAAGAGAGTATTTATCAACAATGGTGGTGCTTTTGGTAATCCTCAGAATGAGGTTTTATGCATACTGTTTTCATAGCCAGTCAATTGTTACTTTGACATAATTCTCACATATTGTAACGTTTAAAATAATGCAATCATTTAATAAAAACCAGTGTATTCTAATTGCTGTGAATAGCATTAGAATTTTTCAAACAATTGTTAATCCAAATGCCAAGCTTAAAGTCGATAAGAAACTAAGATTCAATCACTCGAGACTTTTTTCGTGACATGAAATAAAAATTGATACATGCATGGGATTGATTTAATTGACATCATCTGTGCTGGGCATACAGGGAACATATGGCGAAGAAAATTACAGTAAACGCCCTAAAATTATCCAGGTAGGTAGCAAAATATTTTGTTTGTTTGTCTGTATGTCTTTAAAACTTTGTTTGCTTTAGGATACAGTTATTGTGTTTAATTAATCTGTTTTAAATACCCAATACTACAAACAAGTTGCATTTATTTTCGGGAAAAAAAACACGTTATTTTATATGTTGACCAAATGTGGCAATAAAAAAAAATGGCGGTCAGAAACATGGCCTAAAAAATCCAGGTTGGTCGAGATAACACCATAAACACATTTTTTTCAGTTGTTAACATTTCTGGATACATATGGTGGCACTGCTTTTATATTGCAAATCTTTTGTTTCTACAAAAAATAATGACCCAGCTTGCTTTGAAAAAATATTCCATCAAAATACTTCTAGATAGGCGTACAATGGATACCAAAAAAAAATCGTTGTCAAGAAACTTAACGCATACTTTTCACTATATCCCAATACTCGTGCATAAAGCTAAATATTTTGTTTTGCAAGAATTTTTTAAAAATGGTGAATCCATGTTTGTGACATTGTCATTGAACATTTCTTTTAATTCATTGGTTATTGTTTCGGCAAAAATGGAAAGTGATTAAAAAAATCAGCAACACGATGCTCGTGTATCTTTATGTGTTGGATTTGTGTTTATTCGGGGTAAAGGAGGAAGCCACTGAATGAGGTGTGGTGATAGGTGGAATGACTAGTCGCCCTACCGTGCTTCGTGAGATACGTAGTATCTCCACGCTGCAGAACCACCACCGCGCTCCCAGACACCTGCTCATAGTGACTTGAATCATTGCTACCGCCAGCGACAACCACGTCGCCGTTCTTCCGGAGATAAACGTACAGGTTGCTGCTGGAAGAATCTTTGCGCACAGAAAACATGAACACGTAGGTGCCCGGCACACCACACGTGAACGTGCCGGTCTCGAGATCGAAGCTGGTACCCGGCAGAAGCGTCTCGGTCGCCTGGAAGGGCAAACGGGTGTCGCGACTCGTAGAGGTAAACGAGTGGCTCGTCCTCACCACGGTGAATGCTACCCGCTGGTTGGAGTCGTCTGGTGCCTCCCCTGGCTCACCCTTTTGACCTTTGACACCAGTCCGACCGGTTTGCCCGACTGAACCTTTAGGCCCAGTGTCACCTTGAGGGCCAATTGGTCCGATAAGCCCTGGCTCGCCTGCAATACCAGTACGGCCTTGGAGCCCCAACTGACCTTTGACACCACGTGCTCCCCGCTGACCCCGGGGGCCGATATCACCCTTTTGACCTTTGACACCAGTTTCCCCGGTTGGCCCCACAAGTCCTCTTGGTCCCATCTTGCCCGGCAGGCCTCTGCCGTCGTCACCCGGCTCTCCTTTTTGACCTGCATCACCCTTTGACCCTTGTAAAATTCCGACAATTGCAGCTGTTTCCTGGCAGCACGTTTGGCCCGCCTGAGACGCAGGACCATCACCGTCCGAGGCAACCGGCCCAGTAACGGAAGCTCGGAGGTTGACGGAGTTACCCAGAAGGAGGGCGATTGAAAGAACGGTTGCCACGAAGATCTTCATTCTGTACAGAATAACAATGATTAAACTGAAACAAATCAGGTGAGATTTAGAGTTAAAATAGTTTTTAAAAACGGGAAGAGGAGAAAAATATTGAGGTTTGATAAACAGGAGAACTAATCTAATATTCATGACAATCCGCCGTCAGATTTGAAGAAAAAAACCCCAAAAAAATGAGATTGGAGGAATCATTGTTCGAAGAATGTTTTCGTTGTTATATAACAGTGGCGTATGAGGGATCAAGGGGCTAACATTTGTCATGGCAACCCATCGAATCGATTTTTTTTATTTCGCCCGCCAATAAGAGTTAAGAAAGGTCACCAAAATGCATTCCGATAGGGCGAAGCGTTCCGGAGCTGTAGTATTTTTTTTTGGGGGGGGGGGGGACCGGATTACATCTTGCCCCTTTCCCGGTCCTGATAGAATCATTAATTAAACCTCACCACACCCACCTCGATGGTTCGTTCTTGAAGATCAGGTCCAAGAAGAGATCACAAGGAATTCAGTGAAGGCTGAAAAAAATATACAAACGAATACTGGTTAAGTTTACATTTTAATACTATTTTATTATCAATTAAGATAAATGAGTGAGATTTTTTTCTCATTGGGACACATTGCCATCCCAAAACAGGAAAAATTTCTCACCAAGTTATTACGGTCAAGTTTTTAAAATAGTAGGTTTTCTCGGCCGAATTCGTCAAGAAAAACAACCTGTTTAATGTCGCATTGTTCAATTTCTCTCGAATTGACTGATTCTTGAAATTAGCTTTCAATTTGTTTACACGTTATTATTGAAACGATTTTTCCAATCATTTTATAGGCATGTATCTATTTTTGAGACACTATAGGAACTCGGTCAAAAGTTCGTTGGCATTTTATAAGCTTTTGTTGCACTTGGCCAGGCAAATTTACTTTTAACTCCAGTTCTCTTTGTAGTTTAAAGCAGCAATGAAATCTTTCATTCAATATGAAATATTATAGGGTTTCCCGCCCAATTTCACACTTTGCTAATTTAATAATAAAACATTTGCATTCAAAAGTAACACAGTTCAATGATATTTGGAAGTTGCATGAGCAAGGTATTGTATTATAGTGATACAACAGAGTATAAAATGACATGGCTTTTGAAAAGTTTGGATTAAGGAATCTACAGCTATTTCAAAGATCGGAATGCCTGGGAAGGGAATATGAAAAAAGCAGAACAGAACTGTATCAATGTAAAGTGTTAAAGTGATAGAAGGAAATACATTTAGAACACTCGCCGATAAAATACTGTCACAGAGTGACTTTATTTTAATAAAACGAATTTACTCTTTATTGGTTGTAGAAACAAGTTTATTTTTATGTGGCCTGAATCTAGTACATTGGAGTTGTAGAAACAACATTTATTTTATGTGGCCTGAATCTAGTACATTGGAAGTTGGAATTTGGAATGTGTTTTATGTAGAGGGTAACACAATGTACTTTTATTTGAGGCTCTCATACCCAACATTCCGGGGATAGGTGAGCTAGCCAAACCATGTTTTGTTGAGCCTGTGACGCTTAAATAATTAAGCCACACCTCGTTTGTTATTGGTCAATGGGGCTTACGTCATACTCAAATGTGAATTTTAAATAGGCAATGAGAAGCCTGAGTGGACAGAATAAACTTATCATGTTAATTTATGCATAGGACTAATTTTATTTTGGGTATACAAGCGTGGGCAACTGTAAGAGAAAGGACTTGCTAAGAGAAATTCCGAGTAGAAGGCAGTGGCCAGACTCGAAGTGATTTTTGAGACTAAGAAGCCAAGGGAGATAGGGCAATGCATAGCCAGCCTGCAGCAGAGCTAATGAGAGCTCATTGAGTCTGAACTAATAAGAGTTCACGAACCAGCGTATAGAAAATTCAGCAGCGTATAAGCCAGGAGTCCTTCAATTCCTGTAAGTTAAACCATAAATGTAATTATTGTTGTATTAAACTTTGCTTAATTTATTCATTTTGTGGGAAACATAATATCACTTTAATAACTGGAGACTAATTTTTATGAGATTTTGGAAAGATTAAGTGTGAAATGTATTGGCTAGAACTTGGCATTAATTTTGTATAAAATACAATAAGGCTTATATTGCATAAAAAAACGACAAGTGTTGGCCTACGAAGGTGCTAGTTGCGTTTGAGGAAATTTGGCCAAACACATAATTTTGTTACGCAGAAATGTTTGGATATTTTGGCGAACAAATTTGATATTGCTTGATTAGTTATTGTACAATATTAACATATTGGCAAACTATATAGAGAACACGTCCCTGTTATTGCTATGTTTTCAGGGCTTTTAATCTTGGTTTTGGGATTGCGTCCCCGTGACCAGAGGAGTGAGACCGGACTGCAGCGGCGGGACCAGAGGACCGTGTGGACTCCGCTGGCCAAGTGGGAAAGCTACGGGCATAGCGCATTTTGCTGGACACGAGACAACAAGAGACACTCGGACACTTCTTTTCTATGCTGTAACTAATATTTGTGATTGTACTAAATACTGGAAGTTGCCCCTTAATCTGAATTCAATAAGGAATATAAATCGTGTGTATGATAAGTCTGTAAATAAATATAAATATTGTAAAGAGAAGAGTGAAGGCCTAGTTTTCTCTGAGTGTCAGGGTTCATGGGGTGGGCAAACCCTGGGATGTGACAAATACTATGTCAAAATACAGATTTTTATGTAAGGACAATTAAGTCACCAGTTTGTTAATTGCTGTAATCCCTCTTTGGAAGTAAAAAAAAAAATCATATTAATTTGTTTTTTTTTGTGGCCAATACGATTGGCGATTTGCGAATTGCAAATTAAATAGACTCCTTATTCCATTGCACTTTCGTTGAAAATGAATACTTCCTCTTACAAATTCGCCGACACTCAGTGCAAAATCGAAAACCAACAAAAGAAATGGATTTTCTTTGGCACGAAAAAGTTGCCTTCACGCTTTGATGGGTGTAAAATATTTTTAAAAAAATCGAATGCGCTAAATGCGACCTTTCGCAGTGTAATGAACAGTCTCTCTTATTGGACGAACAAGTTGCGAAAGTGGACGCAAAAACCTATATGTTATGATTCCCGAAGTTGATAAACAATCACAAACGAATTACAACGTGATCAACGATCAAGAAAAAAATAGGACAACGGTTGCGAAAACAATTCCGATTTAAAAAATAAATACAAGAAGACAAATTCCAAAGAATCTGATTACACAGCAACTAAATATTGGTGTGATCAATATTGTTTTTATCTTAGTTCTCTTTTTTTGCCAACTGATGTACCTGCATAAAAGAAAATGTGAAGGAAATTTCAGCATGTTTCCGCTATAAGTTCGAGGCACCCTGATGAGTTTAACGAGGAATTTGCAAAGACTGCAGGCCAAAATGTCTGGCACAGTTCTATGGTGGGTGTTATAGGGAGGGAATATCACTCGAGCGATGTTTTCTGTTAAAATCTTGACCAAAACTTAAAAGGTGTATAAATATAGAGAAAAAAATACAGTCTCCCACCAAAATCAATTCTCTGTTCTTATGATTGAGTGAGGAAAGTGTCAAATAACAGACACTCGCCTCGATGTAACGTTCTTGAATTCTATCACGAAGGAAATCCTCAACACTCAGCAGATTGCGAGCTGGAAATAATACCAACGAAAATGAGTCATTGAAAATCCGCTGGGAGATATCTTGGGGGCTGTTGGGGGAGGCATAGCTGAATTTCACAAGTAAAACACCCCCAGATCAAAATCTCTGTCGGGCGAAATGTGATCTGGTTTGATTATAGCGGAATGCGTCCTGCATGCAACGGCCCTGAACAGACCCACGCACGAGCAACAATATTCATGTCTTCTTTAAAGGATTTTATATTTTCGAATCAAACGCAGTAACTACCAAAACAAATGCCCAGATTTTCTGAGAGAAATCTGTATGCAAAAGGAATTTAAGGCCGCGTAGGATCATTTACAATTGCCCGGAAAAGTACATTTAATGACAGAAACCTTGCAATGCTGAGAGTGAAGATAAGACTGGTATCAAATACCCGGTGAAAGTATTTCGCCTGATAAATCGGTTGAAAACTTTGCAGGTGTTTTTAAAATTAAAAAAAAATAGTTAATGTGTTTTAAAGCACGGAATCAAGTTACGAGATCCAACAAAATAGTGCATACGTTTTCTTTGCTTTTGCTCAATGATAGTATCCACTGAGCTGAAACTTCAACAGGTTAGTTGCGACCTTCTTAAGTTTTTAAGCCATTTTGTTGCTTCGCACGAAAAAAATGCATCAAAAGCAAATAATCCTATGTTTTCTTTTTTAAATTGCTTGCATTTGAAATTGTAGGCATCACAATGAGCATACATTTTCTGCATTATCAAGGACAATCGATCTCATACCAAGGAAGTAGTGGCGGAAATCAGGTGGGCACCGCAGTCAAGGTACGGTCGTTACAAAAATAATTATGTTCCGGATTGGAAATCAGCGCACCGGTTTGACTACTAGCATCATCCCCCATTTGTTTGTTAACCGAATAATGTCCCATATTTTTTTATTATTATTTGTGTACCAACTGACCAAACAGTTTCAAAGTATTCAGCAAATACTACTATCGCCATTCCAAGAAAATATTCAACGGAATCTAAGTGGCATGCTGAGTGGAACCCTGCATGCAAACAGAGCTCGTGCTTCATATTTTAAGACGAACAGCGGACAAGGCGGATCCGGGGGGGGGGACCATGCCCCCCCCCCCCGCCCCGCCAAAAAAACACCCCAATTTTGTTTTTAAGTGATGTCGCAATAAAGGCAGGCACTGGGTACACTACCATCTTTTCGAAACAAAAAATGGTCAAAGTGGTCAGAAATGTCCTCAGATCGCCACAGAGCATTTAGAATTACAAAAAATTCGGGGCACATGATTAAGCGGGCCCTGAACCCCACGCCGTAATTTTTTGGACCCACTTTCCGGGGACCAATTTTTTGGGGAGGCTACCCCCCAAAAAATTGTGTTCTGGATCCGCCCTTGACAGGGAACAGAAGGGACGAATAATGTGCACAGACATCAACGCTGTACATGATTGCTACAAATGAATCCAACTAGATAAAGCAATTTGAACTTGAATAAAACTGTGTGCATCATCACGATCCGGTCGATTTGTATTTGCGCCCTCTTTATTCAGTGACACGTTCATCCTGCAGTGATTGAATGTTTGATGATCAAACCGGAATGGCGCACTGTGAACTCTAGCGAAATGACACAGTTTAACAACAAAGTTCAAAGGGTACTGAGTATCCACATAAATGATAACACAAAATAAGACAGGCATGTTTGATTTGTCCGGATTTCCTGATAAACGTTCTTCCGTGACCAACTTCTCCATAACTCTTCATCCTGAATTAGTTTGAGTGATTGCCGGAATACAATGTGAGTACATCGATTCATGTTTAAAAATTAAAATGATAAATTAAACAGGGAAAAAACGAGGCAAAAAATAAGGGGGTGGTTGATCATACCTATATACTGTTTAGGGTAAAGAGTCGAACATTTGCAAGATTGTTTTCTTTAAACCAAAATGTTAAGATTGTGAGCAATTGATCCTATGTTCCTCTAACTGGTTCAAGGATGCTTGAACTTATGGCAATAGGAATCACAATGAGCATACAGTTTCTGCATTAGTGAGGGAAATCGATCTCATACCAAGGAAGTAGAGGCGCAAACATTACAGCTGGACTACCGCAGTCAAGTTACAGTCGTTAAATAAAGATTTATTTTCCGGATAGGAAATCAGCGCACCGGTTTGGCTCTAGTAAGCCTCCATCTGTTTGTCAACTGAAACTTGTCTCACAAAATATTTCAGATTTGTAAAAATCTGTACCAATCACCAAAAACTTTCGAAAAATAAGCCAAAAATCAATATGGCTGTTTGTCCAAATATCCAACAGAATCTCAGCGGCATGCTGAGTGGAACTCTACATGCAAATACATGAGTGAATTCATCGAGAGCTTTTGCTTCAATCTCTTCAGGCGAACAAAAATCCTGAGCAATTTGTACAAACACCAACTCTACACATGATTTCTACAAATTCATCCAGTTAAATAAAACAATTTCAACTTGTATAAAACTGTGTGCATCATCACGATCCAGTCCGTTTGCATTTGCGCCCTCTGTATTCATGACACGCTCATCCTGCTATGATTGAATTAGTCTGGTTCCCCGACCTGACAATTTCCCCCGACGTCTACACGTCTAAATTGTAGGTCAGGCAGCCTCCGTGGCTAAAAATAAACATGACGACATTGACGGCCCTTTTTCAAAGCTCGACTTCGTTTCCGAATTCGCTTTATCACATAAAGCTTTTAATGTTCCGATAATTTTTTTAAAAATAAATCACCTGCTTCATATATCATACAGTTATGATATACAGTTTAATACTTCTATAAAAAAACATTGACTAATTTTAACCTGGAATCTTCAAAGTTGGACACCCAAACCACTGTTAGTAGGCGGAGCCGAATTGAGACCACGCCGCGTTTTGGAAAATGCCGGTTACGGTCGTCAAACTTGTGCATGACGCAGCAAAAAGTTCGCCCCTCCGTATACAATCCGAGTGCAACATCGTCGTTGAATTTCAAGTTTTCTAAATAAAAGCAATGGATATTAATTATCAACTAGTTTTTTTAAGTTTTAAATAAGCAATTAGCAGTTAATAAAACCTATATTATACTCGGAAATACTCGGACACTATCCGATTGTCGACGAAATAAATTCGGCAAACTTCGGACAGTTTCGGAAAAAGGAGGAATTCCTCCCGTTTTAGTCACGTGATGTAAATTGTAATACATTGTATTACCGGAGGCTACCTGACCTAAGATTCATCAGGAATAGTCGGAATCTTTTGGTCTGGGAACCAGACTATGATTGAATGAAACTTGATGATCAAAGCGCACTGTGAACTCTAGCGAAATGGCAAAGTTGAAAGGGTACTGCTTGAGCAATAACACACAATAAGACAGGAATGTTTTTGATGTCCGGATTTCCTGATAAACGTTCTTCCGGGACCAACTTCCCCATAATTGCTGATCCTGAATTAGTTTCAGTGATTGCCGGGAAACAATGTGTTTTAAAATTAAATTGATAACATTAAAATGGCAAAATGAGGAAGAAAATAAGGGGTGGTTGATCATACTGATTTTATGGGTGAGGTTATTTATAAAGGTTGGAGCTTTCGCAATATGTCTTCTTTAAACCAAAGAAAGACACTTTTTTAAAGTATTAAGAGTGCGTGAATTTTTTTAAGCATTAATCACAATCAGTTGATACTAACCTGAAATCAGCAGGGAACTTGATGTTTAAACTCTTCTAAAAACTGCAATCAGATATGACTAGAAAAAGTCCTACTGATAGCCTTTGTTTTGACAATACAACTTTCCGTGAATGTACAGTGTGCTATCCATTATAGTGACAAGATTTCAACTTTATCAAAAACTAAACCAGTCAGTATGTGAACAATAATTTAGTTTGAAGCGTGCGAAATGAAAGTAGAGGCGGAAATAATGTCAGACAGGAATTCCTCATTCCGAACAACAAAACCCTGATATATTTGGGTGATCGGGTA